ACCCCGGGTTGTTTCCTTTCTTTTTTTGGGGTTTTACAATTAAAAAGTGAACCCCAACCGGCCCTTTAAAAAAAAAAAAAAAAAAAAAAAAAAAGAAGAAAAACAAAAATCCGAGAAAAGAACAGAACACCCAACAAAATGGATATCAATCGTTGTATATATCATTTATGAAGAGAGAAAGATAGAATAAATGAAAATGAAAAATTCAAATGTAATGTGAAATGTCATCCGTAAAATTTATCTTCTAAATATTTAATTAATATTTTATTGTTTCTGATAATAAATGAATGTATATTATGGTACAGTTACATAACAAACTGAAAAACTAAACGGTAAATAAAATAACTGTTTAACCTTTCTATTTATCAATTAGATTTAATACTAAATAAAAGAAGAGAACATTTACCATTTAAATATATATATATATATTTATTTTATATCAAATGTTATAGTACGTAAGTTATTATCACATGGATGAATTTATTTAAGATAAATTTGAGTTTAAGACATTATCTTGGAATAATTTGTATATCATTTCAAGTTTTTATTTAAAAGATTGAAAAAAAAAAAAACTTTAATTCAACTGGTCACACATTTTAAAGTAAGAGAATCCTTAGTTCTATTTTTAAATTGACAAAAAAAATTTAAAAGAAACATTAACTAACTGTCGTCATTTTTAAAGATTTTTAAATTGCTATTTTTTCTGAGAATCTATTTAACTTAAACAGTTATTAAAGGAAACCACACATTTATTACTATTCATATCACAGTCATTGTAGAAGGACAAAATGTTACGGAGAAAAAAGTTACGTTTTTCTCACTATTTCTGTTGTTTTGTCTTTTATCACTATTTATAAACATGATTGGTATGCTATACACACGCAATAATCATATCATGCATCATAGATAATTTTGTAATTTCTCATGAGAAATGTACATCTATATTTATTAGTCGATAACTGAACCTAAACAGACTAGTTGATTTTCAATAATAAGAGAAATAATCACAGTTTTTTTTGTTATGTCTCCTTAAGCTGATCATCTATTATTATTTTTTAATGGTGTGATTTTTCTAATAAATTTTAACTTAATGTCAAAAATGAGTGTAGTAAAGGCGGTCGTAGACTTACTATTAAGAAGAAGCTATTGGCTATAAGAGATATCATTGTTGGCTATACACATCTGTAGTGACTGGCTATTGTTTAACATTTTCAATTAACTTCATATGTTTTGATGTTTTCGTATACAGGTACATTATCTTTTAGTTTTTCTGTTTTTTTTCTATCTTATATTATTTCCCAAAAGATTTATAAAATTTTATTAAAAATGGAGTGGCAGGTAATATCTAATGATAGAATCATTAATAAAAACCAATTTAAATAGAGAAAAAAATTAACTATATCTCTTCTAAGAGTTTATTTTGACGTTTTATACCTTTGGAAGAATATGACACATTAATTTTCATATTTTCTTATCTTTAAATGACAATTTTCTTTGTAACCCCTTAGATGATTGATTTAAGAGCGAATTTTACTGAGTATATACTAACTGATAAAACATCTTATTTAACTCATTTATTCTTGTTTTATTCAGTAAGATAACAGTCTTTTTTACATCCATGTTATTGTCGTTTAAATCATGAACAAACTACCATCGAGATCAATATACGATTTTTTTGCCGTTAGTAAACTTTTTATATTCAGGTTTTCCTATGATTCTATACTAAAAATTGAATCTTATCCAAGATTTTAAATCGAAAAGATAAGAGTTTTTTGTTTTCGTCATCTTTTCTAAGATGACTAGATTCATATATTGAATAGTTAATACAGATATTTCTATTGAAGTTGATAAAAAAACGCACCCGTTTCCGAATCGAGGCAATAACAACATCCAACACGATGTTCAGCTAACTGTGCTATCGGAGTGAAATTCTGCGACGTTTTTTTTAGCGTCGTTTGTTTCTCGTATAATTTTCGAAGGACGAGAAGTTCAGAGATTCAAAATATTTCAGATTAACCCTTTCCAGCCGGCTGTTTCGAAAACACAGCAAAAAGTGTTGCCAAATGGCAACATCAGGCTGGAAAGGGTTAAAGAGGAAAGTGTGCTAAAGATTTACTCATAGTCTACACGTTCTTCCGTTCAAAAACTAGGGCAAAAATATAAACACGTACTTCTTAAAAGTTATTCGAAAAAATACGTGTTTATATGTTTGTCCTAGTTTTTGAACGGAAGAACGTGTAGACTATGAGAAAATCTTTAGCACACTTTCCTCTTTAATCTGAAATATTTTGAATCTCTGAACTTCTTGTTCTTCGAAAATTATACGAGAAACAAAATGCTTAAAAAAAAGCCGTTACAAAATTTCACTCCGATAGCCCAGTTAGCTGACCATGCTGTCTATTCTTAGGTGTTTAAATGACTAAAAGCTAATTTTTATTGATCAAAATGTTTACATTATGATCTGCTTCAAGTTTTGCATGATGTAGACAGACATTTAGTATATTATTAAACAAAGTCTAAATAAGTCTTATGAACACTGATATAACTTGACTCATTGTCGTAATAAATATCTATATATATTTTTTATTTTTAGTTATCATATGTTTAATTAATCAATATCTATATGACGAAAAAGTGTGTTAAATATCATATCAATCATTATAACCAAAGACAACGTTCAATAATACTTGTAAATTATCAACGAAAAGTTTATCATACGACTACATAACATCATCATTGTCATGTCAAAGTCATTTATATTAATAAAAATAATTTCACGTTTTTGTCGTTGTCGTCATCATTATTGTATAACAACAATTATCACCATCATACTCACACTTTTATTTTTATTCGTCACATCGTCGTCCGCCTTAAATGGTGATGAAAAACATGTCGATGTATGTTGTGGATCAGGTCAAATTAGATTGACTTGTTCTCAAAATGAAAAAATACGTTTAAATATTATACAACTTTATTATATAGAAGATTGTTATCTATTAGCGTCAAATACAAATTCGTCAACATGTTGTAAACGAAAATCATCTTGTTCTAGACGTATAACAAAATATAATCATCATTGTAATGAACAACAAGAATGTCTCATTGATAAAACATGTTTAAAAATTTATGAACCATGTGCTGTTCAGGGTGTTGCAACTGCATCATTTAGTCAATATATGACTATTAGCTATTTTTGTATACCTCAAATAATAAATTATCAACAATATATAGAAAATAAATATCCATCACCTCCACCTCCATTTTTAATACGTTCACAATATCAGTCTCATTCTGATGTTGTGAGTAGTTCAAACAAATTAACAGCTATCGATACTTCTTCATCTATGACCACAATTCGTTCAAAACGAAAAAATTTATTTTCATTACATTATGATGATGATGATGATGTTGATAGTAATAAAAATAGTGATTTTAATAATAGTTCATGGAATCATTGGAAAACATCAATAGTATCTCTCGTTTTATTTATATTATTCTCTATTATTCTACTATTATCCATTTATTGGATAGCGGCTAGAATTGGACATTGTATGAGACATCAACATTCATCAAAAGAAACTTTAATTAGACAAGAAGAATCAAAAGAACCAATAATTCTTCGTCCAACAACTATTGATAATTATTCTTATACAAATGGTGGTATGGATACGAGTGGTAAAGCACGAATTTATTCAGCACCACCAATTTATTATCCATCATATGAATATGCTCAAAGTCAACGTTATCCAACTAAATGTTATATCGATGTTCAACATGATCAACGTACAGGACAAACATATTCAAGAACACTACAAAATTCTTCTCATTATCCCTATTATTCTCCTTATAGAATACCATCTTACTATAATTATGATCATAGAAAAGTATATTTAAGACAAAATCCAGAACAAGTAATATTAACTTGATCATAAGTGATGTTCAATGTTCAATAATTACAATGAATTAAATAGAGTGCGGTATGTTCAAAGTAAAGAGTGCTTTTTGAATAATAAAAGGAACCACTTTCACCTTGAGAACACTTAACTTATTCGATAGAAAAAAAGAAAATAAAAAAAAGAAGAAGAAATAAATAAATAAAAATTTATACATGATTGAGTTAATCAAAAAAACAAAAAAAATACGAGAAATATTTGATTAAAAATAAATCTCTCATATCATGATACATTTTAGAGAGGCAATAATAATTCAATTTTTAAGTACTGTTAAAGTACTATGCTACTCAATTTTTACCATACTCTAGAGAAGACATTGATTCTCTTTCAAATTATTATGATTCCATATGTTTGTCAGATGTTTAATTGGTACTAAAATCAGCAGGTTTATCTTATGACTTGTTTTGTTTATAATATATTTATATTGTGTTTTTATCAACATTTCTTTTTTTCTATTATTTTTTCTTTGTTTTTGGTTTGTTTCGGTTTTCTTTTTTTTTTTTGAAACAAAATATTTGAAAAGAATAAACAAAAGTTTATTATGAATCGGATCACATTTTTCTTAACAGGATGATGTACAAGTTAACAATTAATTTTTTTTCTTTCGATTAACGAGGGAACCATCCGAGCTTATAAATCGATTTTCGGTTGAGACTATTTTTGTTAGAAAGGCCCTAACGAGTTGTGAAATACCTCAACTTGATTCATCCCCATGGTGCTTTATTGCTGAGATACTGAATTTTTAGTCAGTTTTTGTCTATAGAGCTTGAATTTCAAGTAAAATCCGACTTTCGAATGTTGATTTCAAACTTGGCATACTTGTAGCTCATGGTCATAGTAGTACGACGAAAAAATATTCGATGCTAATGAATTTTCCTGCCTTGAGATATTGAGACTCGAACATTTCACCA